CAGCAAATCAGCAACAGAAAGGGTCCCCCCTGAAATATATGGTACACAGCTCATCTTTTCCAGAAAGTAGTAATCCAAAGTTAGCCTTGGATATCTGTGGAAACATGTTTTATAATTATTATCATCATCATCATCATCATCATCATCATCATCATCATCATCATCATCATCATTATCATTATCATTATCATTATCATTATCATTATCATTATCATTATCATTATCATTATCATTATCATTATCATCATCATCATCATCATATCATCATCATCATCATCATCATCATCATCATCATTATCATTATCATTATCATTATCATCCTTATCCTTATCCTTATCCTTATTATTATTATTATTATTATTATTATTATTATTATTTATTATCATTATTATTATTATCATTATTATTATTACTATCATTATTATTATTATTATCATTATTATTATTATCATCATCATTAGAAGTAATTGTTGTAGTAGTTGTAGCAGTATTGTTTTTCAGAGTGTTTTATGCAACATCTTTTTCTAAATGTTCAATCTTTACCCACTTACAGGTATGAAATATGAAATACTGCAGGACAGGCAGACACCATACACTGAGTTACATATAAAAAAAAATTCAAATTAATATAAGAACTTAAAGAGAATATTTTCGACCAAAATTGAAGTTAGTGTAGATATTCAACCTTGAATACTTTAATGTGGAAATCGTTAGGTTATGAATAATATGTACTTACTCTTCAGTAATCAAATATAAAATCAGAATCTAATGTTGCATTCTAGTAATAATGCAGAATATAACTCTGCAGCAATATAGAAAAACTAAGGTAAGAACACGTATAACAGCACAATTAGGTATGAAGTGTACACAGCATAATTTAAGGGTAAGATTGGGACTGCTTAACATCTGATACATGAATTTAGCCCTATAGTCTACATCATTCCACAGGCAAGAGAGGAGATTTAGCAGCAGGTACAATGATGGACTAAAGTCTTTTAATGAATTGAAACCAAATCTGTCTTACCCAAAACAAAAAGTGTGGTGTTATGCAGATGTTCAAAACGGAATTTGAAACAGGTATAACAAGAGTTATGACTGTGACTGTGCATAAACTGTCCAATGAAGTTTTACACTGGTAATTTTGTCTACATATACATAGGTTCAAAAATGCTTGCAACTGTTCAGAATATGACCAGATGAAGATAAGCCACGATCTTTGTGCTTTAATGATTAATCTTTAAGGTATGGATGCACTAAGGTAGGGGAGATTGAATATATTCTTGTAAAGGACAAAAAGTTGCAGTCATCGGTACAAGAAATACTCTGCAGACACGAACTGTAATGCCACAAATGAAGGTATACAGGAATCTAACCCTAACCTAATCTAACATCTACAGGAATTCACACCACCCAATATGTCTCGACTAATAAAGCAACCTAATTCCGTGTCACAAACTTTACTCAACAATCTAAGTTGCTGTGATTAAGCATGCCCGACAACCCGTGGGGAGGGTTGATGAGAGGCTCTGCAATCCTACACCCCAAGGGAAACATTCTCCACTTCGGTGTGTACAGCAAGATAGAGTTGTATACATACCTTAAAGAATAAACCAAATGCCTTTATATCTTGAGACACCACACTTTAATAATTCTTTCTAAGATAAATGGATCTATTTTCCACTGAAAAATACTAATTTCTAAGAGATATATATGTGTACTGTAGATATATTGTGATTTTGAATGATGCACCCATCAGAGACAAGATTCAGCCACAGAAGATTCGACACTACGTTGCATGAATGAATGAAAGAATGCACAAACGATCAGAAAGATCACTTGTGAACCAAAATTCTTCCTAACATGGGGGCTTCGCCTATGGACCCCCCCCAACCGACATGTTTCCCTACAGAGGGCTTTGCCTCCTGTAGGGAAAGAAGTTTAAAAGCTTCCTGTAACCACAATATGCAAGAGCACTCATTTTTAAAACTTTGATGGTGTTGATTACAACATATAGAAGGGGAATATATATTTTCTTTATGATATAGTGCACGTAAATAGTCTTACCGAAACTTTCCTTCGCTTCTGTCCATCCTCTGGATGGCTTGCTTTCTAGTCACTTTTTCTGGCAATTTAGGGCACATATGGCTCACAAATCAAGCTGTGATAGTTACAAAGGTCTATTCTTCTGCTAAGCCACAATATTGTTTTACAAAGGTCCCAGAATAGACACAACACTGAAAACAAAACATTCCTCATAGGCATTTTGCCAAGGAATGGTAGTTGCAAGGTCTTGAAAGTCCTGGTGGAAAACAAAATTTATAAAGAATAGTGTAAAACTATCAAACACGTAAAAATAGTTTAATAAAAATAAAAGAATGCTCAAAATATATGAATTAGGAAAATCAGATGTCGAAATTTACAAAATAATTGTCTTCACAAGCGTGTAGTAATACATGAACTACTTGAAAGATCGCAGGAATGAGTTTAGTGGCCATAGTATTGTAAACATTAATGATGTAAACAAGGCGAAGGACTTGAAAAAGATGGGTAGATCTTCTCTCTTCTCCATCGTGTATTTCCTTTATTTTCGGTTTGCACACTTTATGCCACCGATAAAAAGTGTCTTAGTTTACGTCAAGGTAATCATTTCATACACCTTTTTTTCCGTAACCCTGATTATTATCCGCTGTAAATTTACCGGTAAATGATCACGAAAACTACAGCTCATAGTCCAAGTTCACTTGGTGCTTCTAAGTTTCAGCCCAATCTTGCCATTTACCTCGATCTTGACTGGGTAGTTTCCTGAAGAGCACACCCAGTCACGGCAACTTAGACTGATGAATAAATTTTGTGACGTGGAGTTGGGGACTTAGTCTCATGCGAGTGTGTCCGTACTGTAAAAATTTACCAAGAAGTAAACAAGCTCTAGCTCGCTTAGATATACACAGGGAGGCGATCGGTCTCTTTACCAGGGTGCAAATTGTGAAGGTTGCAGCATTGCAGAATTTGACAAGCAATTGTGGCTTTACTTTGATTCTCTGCCTCATGCTTTTTACTGATTATTAAATCTTATTTTTCCATCTTCGTGATTTCAGTCATCTAAATGCAAACTTATGTTCCAAACATATACTCTTGCATAATGTTGTTTGAGCTTTATCAATGACACTGACATGACGATGAATGACGTAAATTGCAATGTTATTTATTGCCTAAATATAAACTAGCACCACCTATTGATAAAACTAACTACTTATTAATACAATATATATTCTCATTTCAATATTATTCAAAATTCAGTATCAAATTTCTGTCAAATCAAACACGTAAACACTATTCAAATACCTGCAACAGGAATAATCCATTATTAAACCTACACAATATCAAATAAAATCCTCTAAACCAATCACACCCACTAAATAAAACACTACTACATCCTAAACTAAGTAAACCAAACCAATTTATCCAATCTTACCCCAAATTTCACACCAAAATCCGGAGAAATTCTGCGCAACGTCCTTCTCCTCCTCTCAACCCTGACATGACAGGTGAGCTATCAGCTGATCGTGAGCATGTGAACGCAGCGAGTGGCCTAAAATGTTATCTCTTGTGATTTATGGTTTTTGTTTCATAACTAGCATTGTTGTTGCCATTAAGAACTTTAAATTTATTTTACCATTACTGTTTATTTTGCTGTTATTATCGCCAGTATTGTTATGATTATCATTATCGTAGTTGTAGTTGTCGTGTTGCCACCATATCATCATTATTGTTATTATTATTAATGTTATTATCATTATTACTATCATTATGAACATCATAATCATTATTATTATCATTGCCATTATTTCCATTATTATTATCGCCATTATTACTATCATCATTAGTGTTTATTTAGATACTATCATCATTATTATTGCTAATGTTTTTATTGCTATAATCATTATTACTATTATTATTGTTATTATTATCATTATTATTATCATCATTATCATCATCATCATTATCACTATTGTTGTAATCATCATTATCATTAGTAATATTACTATTACCATTGATATTATTATCATGTTCATTATTATCATCAGCACTATTAGTATAGTTATCATCATTATTATTATCACTATGATTATTATCATCATCATTATGATTGGTATTGTTATTAGTGTTACTGTATTAAACTTGTTATTGTTATCATTATCATTACAATTATATTATCATCATCATTACCGTTATTACCATTATCGTTATTTCCGCTATTATTATTACTATTATAGATATTACTTTTCACCATTGTTTTATCATCATCATCATCATTGTTGGCATTGTTGTTGGTGTTCCTTATAACTACTGTTATGACGATCATCATTATCATAACTATTATTACCATTGTATTCTCATTATTATTATCATTATCATCGTTCTTGTCATTTTTATCATCGATATTATTAGTATAATTAATGTCACTATTATCATTATCATTATTTATGAAAAAAAAGCATCGGCCGGTTTGTTAGAATTGTGTGAGGCCCGACCCAAAGAATATTCGTATACTTGACATGCACAAATAAAGAAATAAATGCATATTTATCAGTCTAGACATGCATATCAACTCTGCAAATTGATGGTTAAATGTATATCTATCAGACATATAGACAGATATACCTCTATTTCTGCATCTGTATTTATGAAAATTCATTGGGTCGGGCATGGCACAATTTTAACAAACCGGTTGTCTATAGAACCCTTAAGGTGCTGCCACGCTAGCACTTTTTCCGTAATTTTTTTTTTAACAATTTTCTGAAATGTCAATTTTTGAGCGAATTGTCGATTTTCCAGTCAGACGATAATGATCGTTTCCGTCTGAAAACCTTTCCGTTAACTTTTTTTTCAGTCAAGCACAGTCAAATCAAGAGCTATAATCGAGAATGTTTGTATTTATGTTAAATAGAATTGTCAAAAATTTGACGGAAAAAGTGCTAGTGTGACAGCACCCTTAGGCC